TCCTTCATAAGAAACGGAAACGGCGTCCGTTTGGCTAAGGCAGTGCCGTACTCGACACCTTACAGAAATTGGAATTTGTCGGGGCACTACACTCGGCCGTCCTGATCAGACATCTGCCCTCAGATGTCGTAGTCAATCTCCAAATTCGGCATCATCCATCTGAATCCATGGTCTAAGGTATTCGGCTGTCGTCACCGTGTGATATGGTCCCTCATGCTCGCCTATCTTCTCCAATTCGAAACGGTCATTGTCCAGAACCTTAGTAATTTGATATGGACCAAGGAACCTAATAGACAGCTTCAAGCATTTGCTGAATTTTGATTGATATGCATAGTAATACCATACGATTTTCCATCAATAGTAACCGTCTCGTCGAACGTACCGAGAGTCTTATTGTTGTTCGTACCTACGCCACGAAATTGAACTCCGCTATTCCGCACTGGCGGCGCACCAATACCGATATAAGAACTCGCGCGCATCAAACATAAATCGCTACCGGTATCGAATAAGGCAGTAACCCGGCGACCAGCAATTTCAACACTCTTACAAAATCCTCTACTAGATGGTTGCCGAGACACGCCGTTTTCCTCAACCGTATTCGCTTCTTTCGGAGCTTCGATTTTTTTATCACACTTCGCAGCAACATGTACGAACCCATGACATCGGAAGCACTTTACACTTCGACTCTTAAACGGACACCTGGTGCTCACGTGACCCCGCTGGAAGCAGTTGTAGCACCTCCTTGAATCTTCCTTCTCTCCCTTGTCTTCATTCCGTAGGTGTTGGACGCCCTTCTTCTCAAACCTCGACCCGGAAACGTTGCCAGACGATGCATTCGATCGGAGGGTGACCTTCTCAAACGCTTTTAATAACTTCTCCTTGGATTCAAAACCTTGAATTCGGGCTTGATTCTTCAGGACTGTATCCGGTATTCCATCAATTACATAGTCGACGATCTCATCGTCGTCGATCGGAACATGGTTGCCGAGGATCACCTTGTCATAAAAATACTGAGTAAAAGGCTCATTCCACTTCCAGACGCGTTCCTCGAACTGTTTTCTGGCTACCATTCTGTTAGGTCGATTGGAAAACATCGCCTTCAATCCTACCAGAAGCTCGTCAATCTACAACTGAACATGTTCGGCCTTGGAATGAAACCACTCGTACGCTTTACCTTTTAAACGCGAGCCGACCAGCACTCTCATCGTGCGGTCATCCAAACTATACGTCATTTGTAGCAGCCGAACCTGCTTCTCCCACTTGTCATATTCACTACCGTTTCCCTCAAAATTATCAAGCAGATCAGCTATCATCGTAACACTCATTTTTCGGTAATCACCTCCAACCGAAGGTCCGTTACGATTTTCCGTGTTTACACTAGCCGTGGCTCGACGAAGCAGCTCAATCTCTTGTCGCGCCAATACAAGCTCCCGTTCGGTAAGTTCCTTTTCCCGACGGAACAACTCAAATTCACGCTGAAGGTCAGCGTCTCCATTTGTCAACATATCTCGTCGTCTCACCGTCATGGCGTCACTTCGCGAACTTTCCTCCAGCTCGCCCACCAACGGTCCGTTTGAATTGTCGCCATCTTGGATTTCGGCCTCGCTCGATCTCACCATCCACGCACCCGTTGGATCCACCGCCATTAGACGACTTATAATTTCGGCTTTGGTTCCACTCGTCCCGATCCCGAGAGCCTTGGATCTCTCTTTGAGTTCGACCGATGTAAAATCTCCGGGGTTCTTTTGTGCTTGCGACATCTTTCCAGTACTCCTAGGCACACGCGATCCTCTAGAACCTTCTTTTCGCGTCTTCTTGCCTCGTGGATATTCGTCTTCCACACTCTGCTCGTTCCTCGTGTCGCCCACAACTTCACTCCTTTCTCGTCTTTCACTTTCTCAATTTATTAATTTGTTAAATAACAATAAACTATCCCGGAGGAGTCCCCAGATTTGTAGGATCTCTTATTGGTGAATAACGATCCTAGTTCGGAAAGGAAAGACTTTATTTGGAATGTGTACAACCCGGAGACCGGTGGTCGACTGAATCCTTCATAAGAAACGGAAACGGCGTCCGTTTGGCTAAGGCAGTGCCGTACTCGACACCTTACAGAAATTGGAANCTTTTTGTGCTCTCGTTGACTTACGTAGTACCATTATATAGCTTACCTATTGCATCAGAATCCAGCTATATTATATTATTGTTTCCCGTAGAAGTGCAATATATACAAGCTGCATACATGTGAAAAATCACATTCAAATTTGTTTTAACAATATAAAATGTTGATAGATTAATTTCTATCATTGTTTTTATCAGTAAACACACCTTCATACATCCGTACGTTTAATTAACGTTTTTAAATCGTTATTCCCGTTGAATAAACGTTTCGAGTTGATATAATTGATATTGTTACAACGTAATTTCCTGACTTTCTCACTACTGATAAAATCACATAAATATTCAATATACTTTTTTAAAAAGTAGTAATTACGAAGACCAATATCTATACGCCACGAAGACCAATACACTATACGCCAAACCATACATCATAATGCGTTTAATTCACAAAACAATTGTGTTGAATTCATAATTTAAATAAATCACGAAACGATCGTTAGATACCGTACGTGAATTTTGCCAATGAATTAATATCACCAAACTCATTGTTGAACATTTACGTCGAATCAACGAGAATTAATTCAATTAATGATGTAATTAGTTTCTAAACAAACTGCAACGTTCGGATTTAACGTAAACATTAATTTATTAACCAAATTATATTTTAATATTGACTACCGTTGGTAATAAACGTAATTCAAGAGCTATAACTTAGTAAAATAGTTCGTAATTTCTAACGGCATTTAAATGTAGATTTTATATTATTTCTCAACGTTTACTTTCAATGTTTTGTTTAAAAGTTGTATAAATGCGAAGTTAGATGTTGTGACAAATTTCATATATATATAACGTTATTGTTTCACGGAATTATAACGTTATTTCTTCATGATATGTTTATAAATAGTTACGTTGTATCGTTATTCTCACGACCGATTCGAAAATATAAATAACGTCTTTTATTTACGTCTTTTATCCGTCTTTTATAAATTGGAAGTTAAATAGGGACGTTTTCATAACGTTAAAATATAACGGTAACCTTTTAAACCAAAAATCGACGTTGATTTTACCAACCCGAAACGTTTAATTAACGAACATAACGTTTTATAAACGTTGATTTAACTTGTATGTGCTTATTGGGTGGAACTTAAGTAGGAGTGCTTGTTTAATGGATATTACAAAAAAATGTCACCTGAAGGGTAGTTCACCTCCTTGAGGGGGTGCAACATTGCTAAACAATATTGTGTTATCACCGTCCTTATACAGAATACGTTTATACAAAGTTTCGTCGAAATCCCTCCACTGCTCCTACGAAAAATATTTAAAAAACCGATTTTTCGCTAAACTTTGGGGGGTTGTTTCACCCCTTAAATGTGGACCATTGCAGATATAATAAAACACGTGTCTCTTAGATTTTTGTGTTCTTCAACCTATATGAAACTCAATAAGATCGGAGGCGGACACTTGGGAATGTTTCCTTGTTAGATGTCTTCTCGCAATTTAGTTTTTTTTATTTCTCTTACTCCCTCTTGAGTCCGGTATTTAGGAAGAACCCCCTCCTCCTCGGTCATTTCACGACCTCCCTGAGCTAGTCGAGTGCATTGAATGCAATTAGGTTTGAGGCCGGGATTGTCAAGAACCAATCGGGCTGGTGGTGGTCCGCGATTTTGATGTCCTGATGGGTGTGGCTGGATGCCGCATCAGGACACTTGGAACGTCGGCGTGTCTGGCGACCAAGAAAGTTTGATGGGCCTGTTTTCCCGGTAATCCAGTCCCAGTATTTTGACAGTCCCGGTGTCATCGTGTGTCCCGGGCAGAAATTGACCGCCTCTGCGATGGGACCAACCGAGGCGGCGGGTTTGGGAAAGGGTCCCAATGTATAACAACACAAAATATTAGAACGTACAATGTATTCACCTTAATTTTTACAGATAACTAATCAAATGATTTTATCATGTAAATCATACATTACCGATAGTGGCCAAATAAATATTTGGAACGAGGACAAGTCCGCCGTAATATCAAGAATGAAAGTAAGCGGAAAATACAATTTGCCACTGCAATTACGTTCGATGATCACATTTGTCTACAGTGTAAACATAGTTTCTGTTAATGTGGTGATACATTTTATAGGATTGCATTAAGCTGTTTGAACAATATCACGAGTGCTATTCTGATATGCGAAGAAAGGTTAAAGAGGTAATGGATGAGAAACCTTTCGAAGTATCAGAAATGTATGTATTTGGAAAATTCAATACGTTCAAGACAAGGTTATATAAAGTAAGTGCATGAAGATGTGTGAAACGTATTAAGTAGCATTCCATGCGTTTATTAATTTAAAATTGTTTGCAGATTATTGACGTTTTAGAAACATCACAGATGTATACGATTCTACATCGTTCAACGATCGATGGAATAGACGCGTTCTCTCAAAAGTTTTCAGGTATCCTTCAAAAAATCTCAACACAAACTTATGATCCACTAGACCACAGAAAGCCGTATTTTGACCCGGATTATGACGAGTTTAAAAAAAGTATCCTTGAGACTGAAATTGAACTCAGAAATTTCTTTTTCAAGACGATATCATTAGTGCCAAATATAGACGAAGCATTACGATTAGTGGGAAGGTAAATTATACTTTTAATGTACTTGCTTAAGAGTAAACACTATCTTTGTCCTATGTAAGTAAATTTTCTCTTTGTATATGCGTCATTCCAAAATTAGACAAACCGATAAATCTACCACAATTCTTCGTAAAAATGAAGTACTCAATGAACACGTACTTCAAATTGATTTTCGTTATCGAAATTTGCACAAAATCGGAAAATTACTATGCAATCATCTAACAGTTAGTAATAGATAACATGTTCGATTAGCAGTAGTTTTAAAGCGAATGGTTACACGAATAGATGACTATATTTGAAACATTCATTTGCTAACCAAATTAGGTGGATTGTCTAACAATTAACGTCATTATATTGATAGAGGATGTAATCGGAATGTTTGAAGAAGTACCCAAATTGATCATTATTTTGTGTGCACAGGTTTCAAAAGTTAAATCTTAATAACTTAAAGATTGACCAAAAATACTTGGAACTTGTCACAATATATCAGCAGGAAATCGAAGCAGTTCGGGACGCGTATAACGAAGACAGGTCGGATCCTCCATTACCACGGAATATTCCACCAGTAGCTGGAAGGATTTTATGGATTCGGCAATTATATAAAAGAATAGAATCGCCAATGAATGTTTTTAAGAAACACCCACGTGCAATTACACACGAGCGCATGCAGAAGTGCATTAAGATATATAACGCTCTTATTTCGGTCTTCATTCATTATGAACTGATATATCACAAAGCGTGGTATGATACCGCAGACATTGTAAGTTATAAACTTATGGTAATTTACAAAAATATATTAATGTGGTGTTAAATAAACATCCTTTGACTTGACTTAAGTGGAACTTAAGTAGGAGTGCTTGTTTATTAGATATTACAAAAAATGTCGCCTGAAGGGTAGTTCACCCCCTTGGGGGGGTGTAACGTTGCTGGACAATATTGTGTTTTCACCGTCCTTATACAGAATACGCTTATACCAAGTTTCGTTGAAATCCCTCCATTGCTTCTACGAAAATGGTTATAAAAATCGAATTGTCCCCAAACTTTGGGGGGTTGTTTCACCCCTTAAACGTGGACCATTGCAGATATAAAAAAAACACGTGTCTCTTAGATTTTTGTGTTCTTCAACATATATGAAAATCAATAAGATCGGGGGCGGACATGTGGTAATGTTTCCTTGTAAGATAAATCTTTGCTAGCCAGCACTGTTCCACCACTACTTATGACCAACAGAATTCTACCGCGTCACAATATATTTAGCTATTATTTTGTATATCGAAGGTGTGTTTTGAGAGGAATAAATGTAATAAACGGTGGTCTAAATTGATTATTGGCACATTATACCATTTTTTTGAAATATGATGTTTATTATGTACTTAAATAGCACTGCTTAATGAGATTTAACTTCAATACAGGTTCGTTTGGCATTATCATCTCCATTATTAGTACGCCACCCAAGAACTAACAAATATTGCTTAAACTTCGATTCCTACATAACTGAGGTCATTAGAGAATCGGAACATATGTCTAGATTTAAGATGGAAATACCTGATTTTATTCAAATCATTACATTTTGTAAAGAGCAAGTTTTTGCCTCACGTGAAAAAGTAAAGAAATTGGTCGAAGAAAATGACAATCTACGGTAATATCAGTAACTTTAGTATTATTTAATGAAATACATAACATATCAAAGTACATTACTGTGTTCGCTATTTTTATCGAATTCTTATTCATCAAAATTATGTTTTGTTAAACAAGAATTTACTCTAAATCTTTGTCACTCGAGGAAGATTATTCTATTAATTACTTGATTACTTAATTCAATTGATTATTTCGTAGAAAATTATCAATTTCAAATGCATTGTATTGCAACGACTAATCCTCTAGCAATACGATATAATTGAATAACTTTTCAATTAGATCAATGTAGATGTCTCTATTATTTAGCATCAGGCAGCACTTCAGTGGTACCCCATTACTTTTTTTTTAACTATATAACATTATTACAATAATTTACACGTACCGATAAGTTGTAGCTTATTTTAATTATTCTTAAGTATTGCTACTACTTTTTTCATATTTTGAATTTCTCTATATAAATTTTAGACGTTCCATTCCAACGCTTTTTCTGAACCTGATGAATCCAGCGTTTGCAAAACTGGAAATTGCTTTTCAACCTTGCCTGTCTGTCGTAACGTGGTTGTTGTTGTAGCTTATTTTAATTATTCTTAAGTATTGCTACTACTTTTTTCATATTTTGAATTTCTCTATATAAATTTTAGACGTTCCATTCCAACGCTTTTTCTGAACCTGATGAATCCAGCGTTTGCAAAACTGGAAATTGCTTTTCAACCTTGCCTGTCTGTCGTAACGTGGACATCCTTAAAAATTCCTCAAGTCTGTGAGAATATTAGCGATAATATCAGAGATGTTCAGATTTTTGGGAAAGAACTGAAAGACATGAAAGAAGCACGAGTCGACGAAGTTTTCGAGTCCATTGCAGAAACGGACCTTGTCAAACTGGATAATTATCCCCAAAGTCCTGCCCAATTTTCTGGAGACAATCTCGCCTTTAGAGTCTCAGTTGCAATGGAATTAGAAATAAAATCATCGGCTGCCGAGAAAGCCGTTATCGATATAATTAATAAACTTCTAGACTTAATTAGCGATCCAAGCGTTGATGTTGTGAAATATTACTGGATGGATCAGGAGAAAATTACCCGACAAGTTACTTCTCAAACTAAGTTAACTGGTGGAGGAACAATTGAACCAGGTATGGGTTTATAAATAAATTTTCGGTGATATTGCAAAAACAAAGAACTAATTTCTTACTGACAAGGAAGGTACCTGAGGTGTCCCTCTCCGATTTCGTTCATTTTAAAATATGTTATAGAGGACTAAAATCTAAGGGACCCGTGTTTCTTTTTATCGGCGGATAAACACTTTTAGGGGGTGAAATCAGGCTTCAAGGTTGGTCGAGCAAGGGGGTGAGTTGGCTGTTCTATATAGAAGCACTCGACCGATTTTCATGAAACAACCGTCAAAATGTGGGGAATGAAGAATTATGAAAGATGCATTTGGAATTTTTCGAAAAAATTCATTTTTAAGGGGTGAGCCACCCCTTTGAATACTTCTTTTACCCCTTACGCGAGCAGTAATTGTTCTATCGAAATGAAACTTTTTTTGTATTGTTCTGGTCTATAAATTAACCAAGTTTCATTTGGATAGAGCAATTACTGCTCGCGTAAGGGGTAAAGAAGTATTCAAGGGGGTGGCTCACCCCTTAAAATTGAATTTTTTCGATAAATTCCAAATGCATGTTTCATAATTCTTCATTCTCTACATTTTGACGGTTGTTTCATGAAAATCGGTCGAGTGCTTCTATATGAAACAATCAACTCACCCCCTTGCACGGCCAACTTTGAAGCTTGATTTCACCCCCTAAAAGTGTTTATCTGTCGATAAAAAAAACACGAGTCCTTTAGATTTTAGTCCTCTATAACATATTTAAAAATGAACAAAATCGGACGGGGAGACCTCAGGTACCTTCCTTGTAAGAAAATTTGAGCCGTAATTAATGTTTTTTCAAGTAATGTTCGAAAAATATAAGAATATTTCAATTAGAATTAGCAGAATGTTTAAGAAACCTATCAAATTTTGGAAACGATTTGGAATTAATGATTATTATATTTCTGTTAATGTTCCCAGGATTTGGATATATTGATGGAACTAGTAAGGTTAATATACACCGTGTTCATAACGACTGCATGGATCTCTTTGCTTATTTCAACCATAAACTAATAGAAGCTTTAGTAAAATGTACGAAAACTTCTCTTGAAGTTTTGAGAAAACGAGTAGGCACTACGAGGTTGGCAACGTTTAATAAAATTTTACTTTCTTACTTAATATCATTCTTAATTTTATCATGCATTCCTAATTATGTCCCACACTTTCGTCGATACTTAACATAATTTTTTGCATTATCGTTTAGTTATAAAAAATAAAACACGAAAACTATGATAGTAAATTTTTGCTGTCCCTTTATTTTCTGTTTTAGTATAATATATTGCTTTTCATCATTTTGAAAATGTGCCATATGAAAAGAGCATCTATTTAGCTTCGCATCGCTGTGCTTATATTTTTAAATTAAATTATTTATCATTTGCCAATATGATTTCGATTGTTAAAATGACGTTCGGGGCAAATTGACTTACGACAAGCGGGGCAGGTTAACCGACAAGATCTTGACGTCATATTGCCTAGTAGTTTTTCTGTCATCGTCCGTGCTTCAGATATACTCCGATTAATTATTTATTAGTTCACTTAAAATAATGGCCTAAGCTTGGTGTGCTCTAAATTTTTCGTGACAAAATTTCGTGCGGATCTATTATATGCCGCGTCAATTTGCTCCGATTAAGGTGAAGTGAAACACCCTTCAAATCAGTCGATTCGAATACAACACTTTTTTTTAAGGGTATTAGACCAAACTGTCCGAAACTATGACGCATCACTCCTGATCATCTAAGAATTGTCCTGACACATTCAAAATTTGGATTTTTGTAAACAATTTTTTAACTTAGCCCAGACCAGAACCAAAATGGCGTCGAGCTCTCATACTTCGATCAAAATACAATTATCGAAGGCTCTGATATGAGAATCGAAAGGGTCAGGACAATTTTACGACAATTTAGAACACTCTGGTAATCGATAAACTCGCATTTGAACAGGATAAGGGCAAAAAAAGTGTTATATGCGCTTCTATGCCAAAACGATGGTAATCCGGGGTCTCGGAGTGACAATTTAATTGACCTGGAAATCACAGATGGCGCAGGGGGTCCCTCCGCAGTTAATTAGGGCCCCAGAAGGCATGAATCCAGAGGATTTCTGGAGTTTTACTTCGATTTCTTGATATTTATTATACGAAAACGACAGGTGTAGTATGCCATTTAGTACAATATTCAATGTAATTCGACATAGCTGTCAATATAAAAACGAACGTCGGCAACGTAGGCATTTAGAAAAATCTTCCTTATCGACGTTGATCAAGTTCCTCGACGTGTTTCACTTCACCTTAATAGGTCAACTTGCCCCGTACCCGGGGTGCTTTTTCTTTCATTTTTCGAAAAAGATTAAAGAATCTTGGGCTGCAATTATTGTACCTGAATGTATGCCCAACAGTCTTATGTATAACACGTTCTAAAATTCTCATTACTTCACTCACATTGAAACATTATCGAAAAAGTCGGTCAACTTGTTCCGGTCCCCCCTATACTAGAATGCATATTGATTTCCAAGATGATTTCTTGAAATCTGATCTACTTGCTATTAATGGTAAAATCATTGAGAACTATTTACTGCGATTAATTAACATTACTACTTTATAACATGACTCCATTTTCATGTCTACCTTTCAACCTTCGAACGTTTAGAATATTTAGTTTTTATTAATAGATTTTATAATTCCGTTTCTAGTGTTTTATTTCGAGAACAAATCGATGGGGGAGAGCCTGCACTTTTATCCACGTACCTTGTTTTGCAAATCCCAAACATTATTATAATTCCGCCTATAGAAGAGTTGCAACTTCATTTTGCGAAAGTAATTACGAATATAATAGAAACTCATAAAGCCATTACCATGTGGGGTCAACGCTACTCGTCGACACCTAAAAAAAAGGGTACTCTCATCTCGAATGGTGATGAATGTAAGTAAGATTGTATTATTGACTAGTTTAACATGCATCCCGTAATAATAATGGTGATCATTCTTGTTCCTAACTGAACAAAATAGCTACCTAATTTTTTTTCTATCTTTACTTTTCATTAAACGTAAACACGATTCAAATGTTTACGCCATGTGTGTACATTCCACAAATGATTTATGAATGTATGATGAAGGTCGATCTGCAGTAGTTCGAAGAATATTGTTAAATATTAACGCGTCATTATGTATTGTGATGTGGCAAAATAGGTGCCAGTCACAAGGGGGGTTTAAGGCCGGAGCGGGGAGGAGTCCGTCTAGAAATCATTAGCGTTAAGACGTTTTTGTTACTTTAAACATAAGTAAAAACTTGCGATAAATGTAGCTGTATGCAGGTGCGTATCGGCGCGCCACCACGCGCGATCTTTAATTTTCCAGGCTCGCGGAAAACGGGCGGGGCCCCGAATTTGGCGGTTCTGGTGTTATCGGTTGGCGGTCGCCCTAATTAGGTGGCCTGGTGACCTATTTAGATCAGCCTAGATGGCAGCCCGGCGCCCGCTAACAAGTTCCACGGGGTCCACCAGGCGGACAACGACGTCGGAACGGAAGATCTTCCGGCGTATGCGGCATTGTCAGAGGGACTACCACACCGGTTGCAGCTCACCGACTTCTCGTTTCGTCAGCGGCAGCGTCGCTTTCCTCGCCGAGAGAGTCCCGAAGGGTGCCTTACCGTCCAGAGAGCTGACAGCGCTGCCGCCTTCCGAAGGAAGCCGTACCGTCTTCTGTGAAAGCGAGCTGTACCGGTGAGCCGAGCCTGCCCAGGGAGCCCCTTCACCGCATTGTCCCATCCTTTCCATGAGCCGAGTTCGAGACGAGTTATAGCTAAATTTCTGCTGTCTCCGTGTCTGATTTTTCCGCATTCGATTCAGACCTTAATTCGGATTCCGATTTTCAATGACCGATTAGCGTTTTTGTATCGCGCCGACTCGCTATCGTCTTGCCGAGGCGCCAAAGCGTTTCCGAGTTCCCAATTTCCACCCACGTTATCGAAAGGCGCGGGAAAGTCCCTCCGTGGTTCGAAGGGTGCTGGCGGCCCGGAATCATTGAGTATCGCTCGATCCGAAGACCGTGGGTAGCTCGTCCGGGTCGTGTTCATTCCCATCCTTAGGCGGCACTGTCCGATCCGCGAGTCGCGGCGACTTTCGTCGGGTTGCGTCTTGCATTAAAGTCCGGAATTTGTCGGGAGGAGACTCTCGCTCGCCTCCTTGTATCTTGCCCCTGTAGTTTGGAGAGACTGTGTCAACTGTATCGCAGATATTCTTGCTGGAAGTTGCCGGGAGAGAATCGTGACCACGTGCGCATGGGTTAGGGTGAGCGAGTGGCGTTGGAGCCGTACCGCGGGCCGGCGTCATCGTTTCGTATCGCTGCGTAGTTGCCGGGCCTTTTTCGAGGCTCCGAGGGGCAGTAAAGGTCTTTCCCATCGGGCGTTGTGCCCTTTTGGGCCTCTACCGTGGGGTTACCAATATCGGCGCGGCCTTGTTAATTTTGTATTCCCGTTCTCTACGCTTGTCTCATTCGAGAGGTGTCCCTTGTCCCGCAATATTGCACCGCGGTCGCACCCGTTACGTCGAGGTCGCATGAGGTGAAATAAAAGATCCCAACGGGTTGGTTGTCTCATTTATTTTTCTTTCATTTAGCCAAACTTCTATGTTTCGCGAATTCCGATGACGACTCCTCCTCGCTTGATTAGTTATCGTACCGAACCCCCCGGCTCTACTGTGCCGCAGGGCTTAAGGTCCTCGCGCAGTTGATCGGATACGCCCGGGTGGGTCCCGCCTAACGGGCCGAGTCGGCTTGCTTGTGCTGTCGGCTACCGGAATCCCGAGGTGCGTGCGCGCGCACCTGGCGACCTTAAATAAATCGGGCTTCCGAAAGGGCCGACGATCGGATTTGATACTCTTTCCATACTCCGGACCGGGCGTATGGCGATTTGCCAGTCGGGGATAGGAATTCCCATCACAGTATAGCAAACTATTTTCTAAGCGCGAATGACAGGTATGTAGTAATATGTGTTGACAGATGATGAAAAGTCGAGTTTAAAGAATTACCACCAAACCATCATCGATCACAAGGAAATTATACGCAGTTCAATGAGCTTACGAGGTGCCATGCTTATGCTAAAAGATGACGTTGGGCTTCTTAGGAATGTAAGTGAATCTTAAATAATTACATTTCATGAGATTATATTAGAATTAGTCGTCACTTTAGGAAACAACAATGTCACAATCATCTCATTTTCGCATCCTTAATTTACAATAATACCAAAAGAAGCATATTTGGGACACATAATTACAGCCGATGGAGTCTGTTCAGAACCTTTTAAGCTAACAGCCGTAAGATATTTCTCAGTTCTGAAAACTGCAAAAAATATCGAACAGTTTCTCAGCTTAGCAGGTTATTATAGACGCCTCATTTCAGACATTTCCAAAATAACTAAATCTATAATCAATCAATTAAAGGAAGACGTTAAATTTATTTCGGGACCGAAACAACAAGAAAGTTTTGAAAATTTAAAAGATAAACTATGCCGTAAACCGATTCCATTGCCCGAGTTTCAATGAACTATTTATAGTGACCACCGATGCCTCGGATTACGCGATTGGTGCCACATTGAGCCAAGAAAAGATTGGTTAAGATTTACCTATTGCTCATGCATCCATAAATCAGTATAAATTCTGCTGTAAGAAACTATTCTACTACCGAAAAGGAATGCCTCGCTATAATCTATGCCGTAGCATACTTCTGACTCTATCTTTATGGACGCAAATTAATTTTAGTAACCGATCACCACTAGAGAGTGTGGTTACATTCGGTTAAAGACTCCAGCTCACTATTAATGTGGTGAAAATTGAAATTGGCCGATTTGGAATATTCCGTCGTATCTAAATCTGGAAAAATTGTAACGAGCCGTGTGCCTCGAACCAGGGCGCCCGAGGCCGAGCCACACGAATCGCACAACATTGCGGCAGGGCCCTGCAGCACGGCGCCCGGCTCCCGTGAGCGCGGTGCCGACCGGTTAGTGCGCGCCGCGGCCGTTACGCGGCGACCCACAGCTCGCGCTCTCTCGAAGGCACACGAGCCTCCCAAGCACTATAAAAAGTCCGGGAAAGTAAAGTAAGGCAGTCGTAGAAAGTGAAGAAACCCACCTACACATAGACTCTCAAAACCGATTCGCAAGAAGAGACCTTGAATCACTACATTTGCGAATTCTTATCTTCGAAACGATCCCGATAGAGACGACACGAACCTGACCTGTACCGACGTGTCACGTCTCTAACCCGGGCGTTCGAACAATAGGACTAGAGTCATTACCAGAATTAACCGATAAGCTGTATTGTAACCAGTAGTAATTAATCGACGTATGCATCTTATATTAACCAGTAGAGATTCTGCGACGATTAGAATTAAGTGCGATGTCGTATGTATTCGGTCTGCTTCCAACATTTCGCTTTCAGACCTCAGTCGACTAACACCGACCGGTAACCGACGACCCCTGTCGAAGAATGAATATCGTTATTGTTATTAAATCTTGCACACTTTACTCTATCCTGACATTGCTCCTCGGAAATACTCAAACGCTCCGAGCGGACCACTGTCTCAGGAAGAGACCCGAACGTGGACCGCGGCACACGAGGACGCCACCTGATCAAAATGATTTTCCGCCGGAAAAAAAATTGCTTGTGACTCACCTAGGCACGGTCTAAATATCCCTCAAGTTTCCACATTTTTTGAATTTCCGGATTGGGGAACTTCCCTTATCAGTCATACTATTTCGAAATCCGCGACGTTCTCTATATTTCGCAAGCTAAATCGGAAAAGTGTTCTGAGGATCAACATTCGTCAACTCTGGAAAGGATTCAACCACCGAATTTCTGTCTCCGATTTGCGAGTCCAAATCCGAGGATCAACATTCATCATCCCCAGAAAGGAATCGAATCATCGACAAAAGCATCAACTTCAGTCTGCGTTTTCTTAGTTATAAATTAAAGGTACTTCCTAGTCAATACCACACCACTCGTACACTCAGACATGCGATCGAACATAATTTCTCAATCAGTATTCGTCGACCTCTGTCTACTATTTTTACCAAGTAATCCCTCTGTAACCACCTCCTGTCGAAGCGTTCGTATAGAACGTACGCTGAATAAAGACAAAGTTTAACGATTGTACAAGTATTAAAGTAAATACGTTTTATGTCTCAGAATCCTTGTATCCGAGTTGTAATTTTCTCTTACTGAGGCGTCACAGTACACAATGTTTCATTTTCTATTTTATAGTCATACCTGCGGTATTCCTACATTTGGGCCGAGGATAGGAATGAACTAATCCAAGCGTTTGTCGATTCAAATCCAATTATCCAAGAAATTCGAGAGAAATTTTTGGAGTATGAGGAATTGTTCGCAGAAATTAAGCAACTTCCCGAGCATCACGTAATTGGACCTATAGACATTAGCATGGGTAAAGAAATTCAATTTCTTACAGTTTTAATCAATACCTAATTGTTGTGTATGTTATAAGATATGCCATTCATAGAAAAAGAGAACAAAGCTACCTCAGTAACTTACGATTCTCAATAATGTAAGTCATTTTCGATAACAAATTGGCAGTAACAGGTAATAGTTATATCGATTATTGTTGCAGAAAAATTAAAATTGGCATTGCTGGTGGAAGCAAACGCATGGAAGACTACTTTAGGCAATATTCTATCAATCACATATAGAGAAAAATTAAGAGGCATCACGGAATATATTAATGAGAAAAATAATATATTAGCGCGTAAAATAAATGATTTGGAAGATGTAAGAGTAGCTATGATGTGTCTCAGCGATATAAGGAACGATTTTATATCGCTAGACATGGAATTAATAGCTATTGAAGAAACGTATACTTTAATGGGAAAATTCAACGTTCGTCTTTCAAAAGAAGAACAGGATACAGTGGACAGCCTTCGTTACAACTTCACAAATATGTTGCACACGGTAAATATTCCTAAAAATGTTAATAATATATGATTTAGAGAGAAATATCGTTACTTCGTAGATTAAAAAAAACTTTTTTTATTCCGACGAGCCCTTCGATCGCCCAAGCCATTATTATACTTATTTCGGGACTAAACCTTGTAACCATAGTTTCCAACAAAAATACCACGTTGCAACCATTATGCCATTATGGATGATTAATCGACGATTTGATAATACTACAAAATGTTAATTAAACAAGTTAATTATTTGTTCTAGGTTAAGCAAGTTCAAGCGACTATATGTGAAATGCAAGAACCTCTTAGAAGAGAATTAATTTACGGTGTAAGTGTTCTTAAAAATGACGTGATCGATTTCGATGTAGACTTCGAAGTTAATGGACCAATGGTTGAAGGGATACCTGCAAAGGAAGCAAGTGAACGGTACAGTAATTACTACATCTAATAATAATAAATATTTTAAAAGCAATGATTCCAAATATTCTAAAATCACCATCATATCTCGCTATCATAAATAAAAATGTCATGGATCCTATTACTCGTACGGAGTATAATTGTTTCTTACCAGGTGTATAAGCTTAAATCCGCTGTTTGCTCATAGATTGCGCTAGTGAGCATATTAAGTTACTATGGATACGTCATACTTTTGTTTTGTCTGAGTTTGACATCTGTCAACAATAATCAGTGTACATCATCAGCAATTTCATACAACATACATTTTTCCTTTGGTAATCGTGTCTAGTTTTTTGCCAGAAAAAGGGCATATGCGGGAAGCTCTGCTTCTCTGCTTCAATTTGAAGAAATCGGCTGCCGAATCGCATCGAATGCTTGTGGAGGCCTACGGCGACAGCCATTACACCTCTGTTTAGTTGGACAAATTAATGAAAACATACTCCGAGTAATTTAAGCTTTGAAAGAAAATCGTAAGAATGTACATTCGAACGTTTTCGAGTTCCTGGGAAACTCTGGGGTCTCTGAATTTTTCTAGCTCTCAAGGCCAACACCAGCGGTCCCAAAAAAGTCTCAGTTTAAGAACTCCCCACGGTGTAGTTGTACAAATTAATGCAATCTATTCCAAGCAAATTGAACTTGAAAAAAAAAAATCAGGAAAATGTACATTCAAACTTTTCGACTTTTCGACTTTGTCGGAAACAACGTGCAGAGATTGGTTTCATCGGTTCTAAGACGGCAATTTTCACCTGAGCGACACGAAGCGTGAAAATCGGTCCAGGAAGGTTGAGGACTATCAATTGCAGGCTCTTTTGGCCGAGGACGATATCCAATCGCAAAAAATGCTTTCCGAGCAATTGGATGTTACTCACCCATCCATTTCCATGCGCCTACGTGCCATGGGAAAGGTTCGAAAGATCGGAAAATGGGTGCCGCATGAATTGATCGATAGACAGATGGAGCGACGCCAAAACACATGCAAAATATTGCTCGCCAAACAAAAAAGAAAGTCGTTCCTGCATTGGATTGTGACGCGATGAAAATTAGATATTTTTCGAGAATCCTAAACGCAAAAAATCGTGGGTTGATCCCGGTCAACCATCAAAATCGTCCGCAAGACCAAATCGCGTCTGACGAAAGACGATGCTGTGCGTTTGGTGGGAGTAGCAGGATATCGTCTACTATGAGCTGTTGAAACCTGGTGAAACTGTCAATGCCCACCACTACCACCAACAACTGATCAAATTGCACCGTGCTCTGCGTGAGAAAAGGTCGGATTATCAGCAAAGACATGACAAGCTGATTTTCCTCCACGACAACCCACCATCGCACACGTCAAAAATGGTCCGAAATTACTTGGAGTCACTCNGACGTGTCAAAGTTTCGGACAGTTTGGTCTAATACCCTTAAAAAAAAGTGTTGTATTCGAATCGACTAATTTGAAGGGGGTTTCACTTCACCTTAAAGCTTATACACCTGGTATAGTATATCTTGTTACGACAAAATTTTGTAATGAAACTCCGTATTCCTGTAATCGATATTGAAAAAAGTAATTAAAAGTTTAATGTAATGATAACTCATAATCTTAGTTTAGAAGTTAAAGTTGTTATTTAACTCTGTCGTTAATGGTACGTTGCTAATTGTACTTTCAGCGTGATATTATTTAACGCTCGATTTGACGAATTATGGGAAAGATACGAAACATACAGCAGTGGAGAGGCTCTGTTTGGAATAGAAACAACTGAATACCCTATACTTCATCAAAGGAAGAAAGAGTTTGTATTGTTGCAAAAACTCTACGGCTTGTATTTGCAAGTTATGCGCTCAATTGATGGATATTTTGAGATTCCTTGGGCTGAGATCGATACCGATTCCATTATTGCTGAGCTAACGGAATTTCAGAATAAGTATGTATTTGGCATCTTTTGAAACACTGTTTATCTCTTGTCTCGAGTTTAAGCGGATCTAAGCGATGATATGATATCAGGTGCCGGCGACTACCTAAAGCTATGCGTGACTGGCCAGCATATTTGGACTTGAAAAAAAGAATAGACGATTTCAACGAGACTTGTCCTCTGTTAGAATTGATGGCTAATAAAGCTATGAAAGATCGTCATTGGGAAAGGATGTCAAAGTTATGTAATTACTTTTTTGATGTTGAGTCAGAAAATTTTACATTAGCTAACGCAATGGAAGCACCGTTATTGAAATATAAAGAAGATGTGGAGGTAATATTCAATTATTTGTCATTCCTGCAGTTAATTCATTGTGCAACCATAGAATTGTGTTTGTTCATATTATACACAACCATAATCAAGTGTCAAACTTTGGTGCCATGGAAACCGTAGTCTTGCTGAGTTTTTATTATAAACGGGTGTAATTGTGTCACTTTTGTTATTTTCAAAAATATCCTGAAAATTGATATCAGTGGCATATGATGTCAGTTCTACATTGCCAAGACAAGGTTTCAGTTTGTTCGACCCGACTAGTAATGTTTATGATGGAATGTAATTGATTTAATTTGGAATTCATTTTTAAGGACGATACTTATTTTTGTTACATTTCTGATTTGGTTACAATAAGCAATATAAGGACATAGGATATTTACTTAAATATGGGTATGAATTATCATAGGATATCTGCATCAGCGCCGTAAAGGAGAAAGATATTGAAAGCAAATTAAAACAAGTAATTGCCGATTGGATGACTGTAAATTTACAGTTTACTCATTTCAAACAGAGAGGTGAATTGTTACTGAAAGGTACGGAAACTAATGAAATAATAGCACAACTTGAAGATAGCTTGATGATCATTAGCTCTTTAATGGCGAATCGGTACGTTGATACGCATTAACAATGTATAGTTTCAGGTAGAAGCATTAGAAACTTCTAAATTAAATAAACAACCAAGACTTTACTTGCTAGTCGGATTCTTTCCTTGCCACAAACATATTTTATAGTAAACCAATACCAAGTAAAACATCCTTCAAATCAGTCGATTCGAATACAACACTTTTTTTTAAGGGTATTAGACCAAACTGTCCGAAACTTTGACGCATCACTCCTGATCATCTAAGAATTGTCCTGACACATTCAAAATTTGGATTTTTCAAAAAAATTTGTTAACTTAGTCCAGACCAGAACCAAAATGGCGTCGAGCTCTCATATTTCGATCAATATACAATTATAGAAGGCTCTGATATGAGAATCGAAAGGGTCAGGACAATTTGACGACAATTTAGAACACTCTGGTAATCGATAAACTCGCATTTGAACGGGATAAAGGCAAAAAAAGTGTTGTATGCGCTTCTATGCCAAAACGATGGTAATACGAGGTCTCGGAGTGAAAATGTAATTGACCTGGAAATCACAGATGGCGCAGGGGGTACCACTGCAGTCAATTAGGTCCCCAGAAGGCATGAATCCAGAGGATTTCTGGAGTTTTACTTCGATTTCTTTATAATTATTGTACGAAAACGACAGGTGAAGTATGCCATTTGGGACAATACGCAATATAATTCGGTGTAGCTGTCGATATAAAAACGAACGTCGGCAACGTAGGCATTTAGAAAAAACTTCTTTATCGACGTTGATCAAGTTCCTCAACGTGTTTCACTTCACCTTAAATAGTAGTTTAACATGGTATTAGTTCAATTAAATCACGTAGATACACCACATTTAACACTCTTTTATCCACATTTTCTTATTCGAACCATGTTTGAAATTGATAAACTGTTATCGAAAAAACGAATGGACACTGTCCAGGCAACCCATGAAATGGAATATCCGTAAATTAACTGTTTAAATTAGGTATATAGGTATAACAAATGTATATTGTCTATTATCCACCTTAAAAAAATATCTTTTGTAAGTATATGCATCTATTTTAAGCATATGGCAATAGAATGTATATCATAAATATCTAAACGATATATATAAATATCTACGTCTATTGTAGATGTAAATTACATACCTACCATTGATCTACAAATATCTACTTACTTCTTGACGCATACAAAATCTATAGTAGCTCTAATAGACATCTACCAAAGGTTAATCAACATCGTTGAAAATACGTTTAGAAAAATGAAAGGACACTGCATGTAACCTAACATTTTTCTCCCATACTTAATGCTTATATCTAAATTCCAACTTGATAAAACTGTTAATTTCGTCTATACTCTGATTTTTTATTTACTTCCTCTTTGGCTGGTGACCATCATCATGAGTTTTTATCATTATGTAAATTATAATGCCTTACCAGGCACCGTATGAAGTATAATATATTTATAGTGGACGTACAAATTAGGACATAAGTACAGAAAACTTACATCTTCTATGGTTTGCATAATAAAAACATCCCGTGAATATATATGTAAATCTTCTTTACGCCTATATATCAACACATATATCACAGAAGTCTAGATAACCTATATAGAAATCGAACCCATAGGAGAACGTTAAATTGATAGTTTATATTCACATTAATAGTTCATATTCAGCTTTCAGCCTTATAAAATCGTAGTTACACTGTAAAGAATTGCGCACATTTAAATGAAGTATCTTTATATAATATTCATACAATTCATGCACTTTTAGTATATTAGGTTGTACTAAAATTACGAATTTAATATCTTTAAAGTGAATCGGGCCACATTTATTATACACTTTTAAATAGTAAGATGATTATATAACATACTGTTACAATTTTTTAAATGACTCTTAATTTTACAATCACTTACGAGTTTTTTTTTTAAGAATAAGATTACAACAAGATGCAATGCATTCATAAGTCCGAAAAATATTAATTCCTTCATAGGTATTAGTTGCATCATGGTCAGCGTTACTGCTTTCTACACGTGAGTTCCTGATTCAAATCCCGACAGTTACAAAAAATTGTTTTTGTATAAAAAACAGTAGGATTTGTCTACGTACTCACCGCTACCGCTGCGCTCCTAATTGTGACGGCAGAATTTTGCCACGTCACAATCAATATATATATATATATAACGTATCATATCCGGACATATAGCCTTTCAGTGTATTTAAAATAGAGTTCATAGATATTTATATATATATCTTACATACATTCAATAAACATTTATACATGGTTAAGGTGAAGTGAAACACGTCGAGGAACTTGATCGATGTCGATAAGTAAGATTTTTCTAAATGCCTACGTTGCCGACGTTCGTTTTTATATTGACAGCTGTGTCGAATTACATTGAATATTGTACCAAATGGCATACTCCACCTGTCGTTTTCGTACAATAAATATCAAGAAATCGAAGTAAAACTACAGAAATCCTCTGGATTCAAGCTTTCTGGGGCCCCAATTGATTGCACAGGGACCCCCTGCGCCATCTGTGATTTCCAGGTCAATTAAATTTTCACTCCAAGACCTCGTATTACCATCGTTTTAGCATCGAAGCGCATACAACACTTTTTTTGCCCTTATCCTGTTCAAATACGAGTTTATCGATTACCAGTGTTCTAAATTGTCGTAAAATTGTCCTGACCCTTTCGATTCTCATATCATAGCATTCGATAATTGTATATTGATCGAAATATAATAGCTCGACGCCATTTTGGTTCTGGTCTGGGCTGAGTTAAAAAATTGTGTTAAAAAATCCAAATTTTGAATGTGTCAGGACAATTCTTAGATGATCAGGAGTGATGTGTCAAAGTTTCGGACAGTTTGGTCTAATACCCTTGGAAAAAAGTGTTGTATTCGAATCGACTGATTTGAAGAGTGTTTCACTTCTCCTTAATTTACGGATATTCCACGTTGCGCGATGCCTGGGTGTAATGCTTACAATTAGTAGTATTTCCGTTTGGTCGTATAGTATTTAAATTTGTGCATACTTAATATTTACGTACGCATACATTATTTAACACAATAAATTATATGTAATATTAAAATTTAACTTATAGATACAATACTTACTTCAAGAAAGACATCCAATTATGGCAGACTAAGTTGAGTAACACTTCAGAGATATTGGCCAAATGGTTGAATGTTCAGAATCTGTGGGCTTATTTGGAAGCTGTCTTTATTGGCGGAGACATTTCGAAACAATTGCCTGCGGAAGCAAAACGTTTTAATGTGAGAAATTAAATTAAAAGTATAAACTATTTCCGATAAATACGTATATTGATGTTGATTTAAATAATAATAAAATTGAAATTAGGAGAACTTTAAAAAAAATACTATCGGATGATCATACATTTTTAAATGTTTTTAAGGGAAAATTTATAACCATTCAAGGGTAATAAAGTAAAATATGGTTTGTGCAGGAAATTAAGCATATGAATTTTTTCATAATGTCTGCAACATAACAGTGTTTGCTTGTTCACTTTCTACACTCCTTTTCCCGACGCTTTGCTCTTACTTTCTTCTTCTTTACTTAACTTGATAAATACATAAAAAGAAATGAAATAAATTGAAAGTTGACGCACTTTAGATGACTAGAAGAATATTTTATTAGCATTGCTTATTAGATCTCGATTACATATTCGTTGGAATGCAACGGTGGTGCCTTCCAACGAAAGAATTGATTTGAATTGCTACGGCTAATGTGTTTTGTTATTGGTACTCGTTATTATCTAAATCTGCTATTATTAAAATGAATCCACAGGGTCTGTTCACGTTTCGCAACCGGCACCGGTCTTCTTCCTTATGTTCGCGAATCGCTGAACAAATTGAAATAAATCGTATTTCATTTTTCTTTCATTGTTTTTAATTCTATGAATTAATAATAATTTATCCTTCCAATATTACCGAATAACCTAATATTTAATTATTTCAGATCATCGACAAGTCGTGGGTGAAGTTAATGTACAGAGCTCATGAAAAGTTGAATGCGGTAGAAACGTGTACGGGAGACGAAACTATGAGTCAGTTTCTACCACACTTACTAGAACAATTAGAATCTTGCCAGAAATCATTGAGTGGGTGAGCTGATTATATATTTGTAAATTTTATTTTTACTGAATATCTGATTACACTCCCTTCTATTGGGTTGTTCGGAAAGTAATTTCGTTGTTTCCCAACAGAGGACTTCATTTTCTTTTTTCACGGCCAACTTCACACTTAAGCCGCATAATCATTATATGTTTTGACAGCTGATCTAGCAAGGCTTGCTTGTGAAAAAGTTTGATTGATTCTACGCAGTAGTTTTTGGTTGGTACCCTTTCAAATATGGAAAGTGAAAAGCGGCATTTTCGGCATATTTGACTTTTTTACTATCGAAAAGGTAAAAATGCTGTTCAAACAAGAAAAAAATTATCCGACGTGTATGGAGAAGATGTATTGACAGAACGCCAGGGTCAAAACTGGTTTTGCAAAATTTCGATCAGGCAATTTTGATATTGAAGATGAACCACGTTCTGGAAGGCCACTTAAAGCTAATGAAAACACGATAAAGGCATTAATTGATTGAGATTATAGTTAATCGATGAGATTATATTTATCGAATTCGACCGTTCATGATCATTTGAAACGCCTAGGTTTAATCTCAAAGTTCGACATATGGATTCGTCGTGTTCTTGCGGAAAGAAATTTGTGTCATCGCATTGACGTCTGTGATTTGCTTCTCAAACGTCAAGAAAATGATCCATTTTTTAAGCGCATCATCCCTGGGGACGAGTAAGGGGTTGTTTACAATAATGTTACACGCAAGAGATCATGAAGTAAAAAAGATGAACCGGCTCAAAGAACTTCGAAAGCCGAAATTCATCAAAAAAACGTGATGGTATATGTTTGATGGGATTTCATAGGAATCGTTTTTTTTTGAGATTCTATCGAACAACACAACGATCAATTCTGAAGTGTACTGTCCCCAGCTGGACAAATTGAATGATTCACTTAAACGGAAGAGACCAGCACTGATCAATAGAAAAGGTGTAGTGTTTCACCAAGATAATGCGAGACCTCATACAAGTTTCTTAACTCGCCAAAAGCTTCTACAGCTTGGATGGGATATCCTGCCACACCCACAATATTCTCCAGATCTGGCACCTTCTGATTATTACTTGTTCCGGTTTCTACAAAATTTTTTAGACGGTAAAACCTTTACTTCAAATGAGGAGGTCAAAAATCTCCTGGATCAGTTTTTTGACAGCAAAAACCAAACATTTTATGAGCGTGGAATCATGCTCTTGCCAGAAAGATGGCAAAAGGTATTGGACCAGAATGGACAATATATAATTCAATAAAATATTTATTCGCTATAAAAAAATCGTCTTTCGTTTTCATTAAAAAAAACACGAAATTACTTTCCGAACAACCCAATATAATTTACTGACGCGTTTTTAAATTAATTTAGCTGTTTAAAATTCATTTTCAGTTATTTGGAAACAAAGCGAGTTATTTTTCCAAGATTCTGCTTTATATCGGATCCAAGTTTACTCGAAATTCTTGGACAAGCGGCTGATTCTCATACGATACAAAAATATTTGGATGGATTTTTCGACAACGTGGGAAAGGTACTGTAAATATAATGTTTACACAGTAATTATATACAAGTATTGTTTGAGCGCTTTGGGACTTCCTTGCATAATTTTATGAGATGTTATTATTAAGCAATATTGTATTTACACTGATATATCGTTCATAACAACATACTTTTTATATTTTCAGTTGGAGTTTTCGGAAACCGAATACGATAAGATCAAAGCGATGTATTCTCGTGAGAATGAAAAAGTTGATTTTGAAAAGGACGTAATATGTACAGGAGGTGTCGAGAATTGGTTAAATTCGTTATTAGAAATGCATCAGATATCAGTGGGCGCTGTTATTTCATATGGAATGCAGCAATTGCTATTGCCTGAAACGAAACTTATAACATTAATAGATAATTCCGTTTTGCAGGTAATACAGCAGTCGATATACATTATTAAAGCTGATAATAAGTGGGTGGCGTTCTTATCGTTACTTTTAAAGTTATCAACTAATATTATTAATGATTTTTAAATATACAGGGTGTCCTATAATAGACAATCTTTCAGGGGGTGAAAGTGGATGGAATTTTGAACTGAAAGTTCCATCTCCACTTTTAGCTCAGACGATTATTTATCGAATATCGATTAAAATTGGCCAACGAGATGGCCGAGGTGTGGGGTTGGAGTACAGCTATTTGAAGATTGGAACATCTTTGGGGCGATNATCGGCCAGTATTGGGTCGCGAGATATCTCGTCCAAGGTAACGAAAGTGTTAAGGGTTCGTTAGAGCTATGTTTAGGGTAAAGGACGGTAGGTGCTTAGTCGACGCCTCTATGCAGCCAACCCACGTACAATCTAGGGCAACAAACTTGTCTGAGACGTTACCGCGTCTCTTGATCACATCAAAAATCAATCCTAGTCCACCGACTATTTCATGTTTTTATAAATGTTTTAGATTTATATAATTTTTTCGTAATGCCAAAATATGATTTAACAGGTCGGTCTATTAGCTGTTCAAGTGCTATGGACTCGTGATTCTGAAACAGCTATTGTTGGTGCAAAGCGAGATAAAACTATAATGAAGAAAACCAACCAATGGTTCTTGGATTTGTTAAATAGCCTGATTGAAGTAACAGTTAAAGATCTTACAAAATACTCTAGAGCAAAATTCGAAGCTTTAATCACAATACACGTACATCAAAGGTTTGTTGTAAATGATTATCATAAAATCTGTATTTAGGTGTTTGCAAGAGGACTTCCTCAAAAGGCTCAATTCGCTGACAATTACCTTACAATACATTGAATAGATCATTAAAGAGTCATTTTTCTCTAATTGCTTTCTTTATTATTTGTTTTTATATTCTGATAATATTGAAAAAAAAACATATAAATCCATATTGAAACTTCAGTAATATATGTCATGGTACGGGGGTTCCGTCAGTCGTGATTTTTTTGTACGTCTCGTCAATTTTTCTACTCTTATTTTACAGAGATATTTTTGATGAATTGTTTCGCCTAAAAATAAGGAATATTGTAGACTTCGAGTGGCTTAAACAGGCCAGATTTTACTACGACAAAGAAAATGAAGATGTAGCAATAAGAATTACGGATATCGAATTTATTTACCAAAATGAATTTCTTGGTTGTACTGATCGCTTAGCGATTACTCCGCTTACCGACAGATGTTACATTACCCTCGCCCAAGCAATAGGTATGTCTGCTAATTGCTTTTAATTTTGGTTCAATAATGTAGTTCCCCCCCATTATAAGTAAGTGTTAAGTAACACGCCGATTAAGGTGAAGTGAAACACCCTTCAAATCAATCGATTCGAATACAACACTTTTTTTTAAGGGTATTAGACCAAACTGTCCAAAACTTTGACACATCACTCCTGATCATCTAAGAATTGTCCTGACACATTCAAAATTTGGATTTTTTGACAAAATTTTTTAACTCAGCCCAGACCAGAACCAAAATGCCATCGAGCTCTCATATTTCGATGAATATACAATTATCGAAGGCTCCGATATGAGAATCGAAAGGGTCAGGACAATTTAGAACACCCTGGTAATCGATAAACTTGCATTTTAACGGGATAAGGGCAAAAAAAGTGTTGTATGCGCCTCTATGCTAAAACGATGGTAATACGGGGTCTCGGAGTGAAAATTTAATTGACCTGGAAATCACAGATGGCGCAGGGGGTCCCTCTGCAGTCAATTGGGGCCCCAGGAAGCTTGAATCCAGAAGATTTTTAAGTTTTACTTCGATTTCTTTATGATTATTGTACGAAAACGACAGGTGGAGTATGCCATTTGGTACAATACCCAATATAATTCGATCCAGCTGTCGATATAAAAGAGAACGTCGGCAACGTAAGCATATAAAAAAATCTTCTTTATCGACGTCGATCAAGTTCCTCGACGTGTTTCACTTCACCTTAACAGTTACTAACAGTGTACATAATGTGCCTTATTAATTTCATGTTTTTTTTAATTTTATTATCTGCTTTGTTAACCATTTAGGTATGAATTTTGGAGGTGCTCCTGCAGGACCGGCAGGCACTGGCAAAACAGAAACGACAAAAGATATGGGAAAAGCACTTGGAAAATATGTTGTTGTTTTCAATTGTTCCGACCAGATGGATTTTCGAGGGTTGGGCAGAATTTTCAAGGTATTGTATTATAAATATCAACTTTTCATTACCTACTAACAATCCGAATGCTTCTGAGGCTGTAGGGGCTGCACAAATAGGACTAAGGTCTGTTGAATAAAATAAAATAATATAAAAATATAAAAATAAAATGAAATTGAAGACCCTTCGAAGTTAAAATGCAATTCCTCTGCTGTATTAGCCAAATATGAATTATATTATTTCAGCAAAATTATATACAGAAATATTGCACCAGGGAGGATCGCCCACAGGGTGCATCGTCACAATTTAAATTCAATATACTACTTTGGATATTCCGCGAACATATATTATATATGTATTTTTAACTTCTGATATATTTAAACATTTCATAGATATGAAAACATTCTATGTACATACATTTATTAAAAATTTTGTTTGCGTGGGGATAAATGCATCATTCTTTCAGGGTTTAGCCCAAGCTGGTTGTTGGGGATGCTTTGACGAATTTAACAGAATAGAGCTTCCTGTACTGTCTGTCGCCGCTCAACAAATTGCTATGGTGTTGAATGCTCGAAAAGAAAAGAAGTCGTCTTTCCTATTCAGGTAATAAATTGACACTAATATTTAAAAAAACTAAGTTATTTAGCAGTCACTTATATACACTGCGACGCATCGCGAGAGAGCACTCACAAGGAAACATTCCCAAGTGTCCGCCCCCGATCTTAATTTCCATATATGTCGAAGAACACAAAAATCTAAGGTGTGACACGTGTTTTTTTATATCTGCAATGGTTCACATTTAAGGGGTGAAACAACCCCCCAAAGTTTGGGGAAAATTCGGTTTTTTTAATATTTTTCGTAGAAGCAATGGAGGGATTTCGACGAAACTTGGTATAAACGTATTCCGTATAAGGACGGTGAAAACACAATATTGTCCAGCAATGCTACACCCCCCTAAGGGGGTGAACTACCCTTCAGGCGACATTTTTTTGTAATATCTATTAAACAAGCACTCCTACTTAAGTTCCACTTACGCGATGTGATTGCTCACAAAAAATGAAGAATCCGTGTTTTTTGCTTTTTACCAATAAACATTTACACATAGGTTGTGAACAATGAATGTAGGTGGTATATGGGTATATTCCAAATAGCTTTATTGGGTTATATCGTGACCAATTCATTGTATATAAATCTTGTGAACGTGCTAATTCCTCAAAATGTCGTTGGTTTTCATAATATGCAATTATTTACGAATATCGCTAACTCTTTATCGTAAAAACGGTAAAACTCCAATTTTACCGTTTCACCAAGGAGATTGTATTACTAGTTGGAAACGGGTGATGACTGCGTCATCGGATCTGTTGCGAAACTATTTTAGCCTCTTAAACTTTTTTTCAAATTTATTTATAAATAATTGCATGCTATGAAAATCAAGGACATTTTGAGGAATAAGCACGTTCACAAGATTTATGTACAATGAATTGGTTACGATATAATCCAATATAGCTAGTCGAAATATACCCGTATACCACCTACATTCATTGTTTACAACCGATGTGTAAATGTTTATTGGCAAAAAGCAAAAAACACGTATTTCTTCATTTTTTGTGAGCAATCACATCACGTAAGTGGGACTTAAGTAGGAATGCTGTTTAATAGATATTACAAAGAAATGTCGCTTGAAGGGTAGTTCACCTCCTTGGGGGGAGGGGGTGTAGCATTGCTGAACAATATTGTGTTTTCACCGTCCTTATACGGAATACGTTTATGCCAAGTTTCGTCGAAATCCCTCCACTGCTTCTACGAAAATTATTATAAAAACTGAATGTTCGCCAAACTTTGGGGGGTTGTTTCACCCCTTAAATGTGGACCATTGCAGATATAAAAAACACGTGTCTCTTAGATTTTTGTTTACAGCAGGGGATGGAAGGCCCGAGACCGGAGTTTTGGGAGTGGTAATGGAAGTTCGAGGGCTTTGCGACCTGTAGGAGTAAAAGAGAACGTCACGCCCCTCGAGCCCCGAGTCGGCGGCCGAGCCGAGCCTGCCACGCCGACGTAAAACCAATATTTGGTTAGGGCCCGAAAACCGGAATATTGACGCGCTCAGCTGATCGCTCGTGAAACGCTCTCCTCGCTCTCTCGCCAGTCTCTTTTTCTTTTATATCTTAGAATTATAATTAATTTCGGTCTAAGGAGTCGTGAGGCTCGAACCCTCGAAGGATGCAGTTTTTTGGTGCATGGACACGGATCAAAACTGCATACCATCAGTAGATATCTTATAGATATCTATAAGATATGTAAAATAGGGCTAAATAAACGTCTAATATACGTATATTGTACGTAATTCAGATATATACCGTATACAAGAGCTTGCCGGACAGTTTAACTTCTCGTGCAAGTTCGCTTTCAAAACCGACTGCACTACGAGCAATAAATGTCCGAGGACAACCCTAGCAAATTTTTCTTATCGACGAATGTGGATTTTAATTTTTGTATTACACTTCCCAGGAAGGGTCAGAGAAATAATCCGATAACTTTTAACAATTAATGTGTAATTATAATTTTTTCATCGGTTTAAGCAATACTTTTTTGAACATTTACTAATGTGGAAACCAATTGCAATGTAAGGACAATAAAATTATTGGCTACTATTGAAAAGGCCATTTGTATGTGTTATCAACGCTGGTCCATTTATATTACAAATTTTTTAAATACAATTTTTAGTGATGGCGAGACTTATTCACTTAATTACGGAGTCGGAATATTCATAACAATGAATCCGGGATATGCTGGACGTCAAGAGCTACCAGAAAATTTGAAAATCCAATTTAGAAGTGTAGCAATGATGGTACCTGACCGACAAGTACGTAAAAACTGATTACGAAATTTGAAAAATTTAGCTGTATATTCTCATGATCATTCATTACGTTATGTTATTTCTTTAGATATGTGATTTCTCCAATCGTTGTAATGTAATTTTCAGTTACAAATCCGTATTTGATAATTACTTTTTTATTTCACTTCATACGTTTATCATTTCCCCTTCCAAAACATTTTAGGAGATGATTCGTTACGTTAACCCTTTGCACTCGAGAGGTGACTCTCACAAGGAAAGTACCCGTGGTGTACCTCGCTGATTTTCTTCATTCTGAGATATGTTATAGTACATGAAAAAACATTACAGACGTATTTTTTTTTATACGTGCTAACTCCGCGATTTAAGGGGTGAAATGGACCCTTAAGGTTCTCCCCCAAAACCGTTTTTTTTAATATGTCAAGAACTATTGGGAATTTTGTAACGACATAAATGTCATATTATTCGCAATGTGTAGACGATATTATAGGATAGATACATTTTACCCCAAAGGATTACATCCTGAAAATTTTATAAAACAAAATAGCTATTTTTCACCCCTTTTTTCGACATGAAAGTGCAAAATTATGCCGATTTGAATCTAACCGATTCTGTTAGACAGACCATATATATATGTATTGTGACGGATTTTCGTCCGTCCCAAGACCACGACCGCAATAGACGATACGGGATCTCCGGGAAACTCTAAGGATGGTGTGAGGAGACTAGTATAGGTGCCGTTCCGCTCCAGGACCCCTCGGCACCCGCGGGATCGAGCGAGGGGAGGGACGTGAGGAGGTCGAGGCAGGGGCCCTGACTCCCTAAAACATCCGGGGAGTGGGACCCCTCGTCCCACGGGGGAAATTCTGCGAGGTCACCGGGAGGACGCCCACCCGGAAAGCGGTACGTGGACCAAATAAGAGTCTCCCAACCGGGTGGAGCGCTCCGACCGAGGAGGTTCTCCGGCAAGGGCCAGCGGTCTGGTGATCCCAGCGCCCCGATTCGGAGAGGATCGACTTGGTGAGGCCAGGAGGCGCTAAGACATACAGGTGGCAGGCCTCACGCGGTGGACAGGCCACAGCCACTGCCGAGGAAGCCGTGGCATTTATTTGGATAGGTCGTCCTCCACCACCAAGGTCGGTCCCAGGGGGAGGCCCGCCGGCGGATTCCTCATCGGCCCGCGAATTCCCCTACCACTCTCCGGGGACCCGGTGACAACCCCCGCGACCTCCAAGGTACCGAACGTTCCCCTCCCATGACTCGCCGGGAACGCTGAGGGGGAGCAATATGTCCGGATTTTCGGGTTGCGTAGGATTGTGGAGGAAAAGAGCGTCTGACCCGAGTGAGTGCCGCGAGTGGAGGTGTGAAGAAGAGGACCGAGGGCGAGGTGCCGGTCGATTGCTCCAGTGAGGCATTAGGGTTCCGTTCATGTCTGTTCCAGGGAACTCCAGGGTGAGTATGGAGTTCCATACGCTACCGTTCCGTTCCGTTTGCGATATCAGAGTCCCGGGGATCCCAATCTCGCGTCTATTGGTCGAGGCTCATAGTATTGCGAACGTCTGCGCGTCCTATGGAAACCTGAGTACGATCACCGAAGGACCTCTTTTCTGGCCGCGATGTACGAGCGCGTAAATATGATGTACTAGAGTCTCTGGGAATATATGAGAATATACAACTTTTCTTCATTTTTCGCTAAAGTGTAGCTTTTGTCACCTACTCCCTGAGGTCAGTTACGACCCCGACCCTAACTCTCCACAACTTGCCTCCTGAGCGACACGGGACATGCCGTCCGAGTGCTCTCTCGCCGCCCTTCTCTCCGTTTCGTGATATAATTTAGGTGGAAAGTTTTGCGATTATGAATTATGATTCTGATTAGACCGGTTTGTCGGTTCCGGGGACCCAAAAATCAACTGGCGCCCATTGGATAGTCGGAGAACGGGAAGGGAGGCGAGAGCGCGGACCGACGAAGGTGCGCGAGGTTTTCAGATGGAGGAAAAATCGCGTTACAGTATGTACAATTTGACGAAGTATAGAATGATCCCCCCTGTCATTTAACTGGGACGAACCTAACAAATAGGAAGGAGTTGCCACGTCTAATTAAAATAAAAACAAAATTCCACAAGAATTCCACAAAATTAATACTTTAGTTCTAGCATGGAAAGACGAAAGGATCGTCACATCTTTAACCACTTGGAATAATGTGGGAATAACTCTCGTAAAAAGGATTTTACGAGGTGGAGTTGAAGTTACTGTAAAGACACTATATTATCATAAACTATATAAAATAAATGGGCAGCGTTAATCGAACGGACCAACATGCCTCGACATCCTGTTTTCTAAAGAAGTCCTTGAAATGGTGGCTTTCGCTATTTTCTCGAGGTTTACAGATTTGTTCAGTTAATTTTTATATTGTTTACAAATCAATAAAACAGCAGAGAAACGAGCAGCCGCTTAGTCATCAGTAGGATGGAAAAAAATTTGGTTGACCAATTGAGAGAAGATTTCCGCTAGACTTGTGATCGAATTTTTACTTCGACCACTAGTTTCGACGAAATTCGATTGAATTGAAAGCTACATGTCATTCTAGCAGGAGTTAAGAAGGATTGCAAGGTTTGCTCTCAACGAAATAAGCCCGGCAAAAGGCATCAAACAACATATTACTGCAATAATTGCCCCGACAAGCCGAGGATGCAACTTGACAATTGTTTTATAAAATACCATACAAAGCAACAATAGTCCTTAATATTTAACAAATTTTCATCTTTCACATATAAGTATACATAAAATAGTAAAATATAACAGTTTTATACGTTAATTTGTATATGAAATCATTTTAAGTTAGCTGGATGAAATTCACTAAGTATGCGGAAAATCGTCTCAGGTTGCTGGTTCGTCCGGCCGAAAAAGGCCTGTAGTGCAAAGGATTAATTGTGATATGAATTCAAAGTGACAGTATGAATCAAATAAATAGATTTTATGTAAATAGATTATATAAATATATGTTATGCAACGCCAGCATGGTTTGGATGGTCTTCGGGACCGAAGACAGTCGCAAAAATTAAAATTGGCCTTTCTGCGACGGACGATTTAACAAATGGAAGGGAGTGGGTACAGTACAGAAAAGAGTCTCAAAACGTCCAATAATGAAAAAGTGTCCATATTGGTACTCCACGCCTGCGCAAAGAAAAACGCATAACCCATGTTATTGTTACGTAAAGTATCGTGTGTGTCATGGAGGCAAGGGTCTTTTACATTCCGCGTGTATGCGATACTTGTCTTTGGCTCACGGGCGTGCATTCGCCTCTAGCACGTGCGCTCGTGGGTCTACGATTCGTATTGCAGGGTCACGCTAGGTATAAAAAGACCCACTTTGCTTCCTTAGTACACAATGTACTATAGGTTTTAATGCTTTCTGGGGAGTTACTATTGCTTAATTCAACCCATCAAGTATTCACATCAATTACATTATTTACATATATTTGTACAGAAAGTATTAGTGGGACTTGATCCGCTGCTTCTAAAATTTAGTCAATGATAACATATTTTATTAGCCAATTATTTATTTAGATTATTATGCGGGTGAAACTGGCAGCATGCGGTTTTAAGGAAAATGTTATATTGTCTCGAAAGTTTTTTACTTTGTACAAATTGTGTGAAGAACAACTGAGCAAACAAGTTCACTATGACTTTGGATTGAGAAATATATTGTCCTGCCTTCGAACTCTTGGTGCTCAGAAACGAGCTCATCCTGACGATTCAGAAGAAACAACTCTTATGAGAGTCTTGAGGTAACTCAATTTTTTCGTTTCCCTTATACAATTAACTAAATGCCTTATTTTTTTAAGTAACTCTACAACAGTACAATAATAGGGTTATTCAAATGCTTCAAATCGGCACATGCCTATAGCAGTCGTTGTCGATAGATAAAAGGAAAAAAACGTACAAAATGTAGAGAAAATAAGGTATTCTTGAAAATTAAGGAAAATTAAGGAAAATAAGAAAGAAAGTAATGTATCCTTAAATTTGTTGGGGCTTTCGGGAGTGACCGGCATCCATTGTCGCCAGAGGGCCATTTCGTAAACGTTGCAATATGTGAAAATAATCACACAAATATATAACGATCGTTCTCACAAAATTAATTATTTTATACATAAATAACCAATATTGTCCCAATCCCGGCTCAGCATTGGTTCAACATTGGCCCTTGCCTCGGATTATCACTCTGCTTAGGGTATTCTTACCTTTAAGAAATATTGGTACAATAAAGGCAAATTAGATTAGCCGAGGCTCCGCTGATGTTATCATTTCCACAGAGGCCCAACATTGGTCCAAAAGTGGCTGCCGATCTTGGTCCAGGCATTGGACGAACATCATGTCTGTTGTATTTCCTCCGCTAGGAAACACTGACCCAATGAAGGCAAAGTAGTTCGGTCGAGGTTCCGCTGATGTTATCATTTCCACAATGGGTTACGATTGGCAGCCAAGATTGGGCCAACCATTTTCACTGTTGGGTCAATATTCCACCGGTGGTAAATTTCTACATGGGTAGCGGAGAGAACGCGATTGATTGGCTGTGTCTCACTTAGTTATTACAGGAAATGTATGCACTGTAGGAAAAAGTTGTACAGGACTTTTCGGCTTCTTTTTCAACAAGGATAGCGCTGTATAAATCGTGACTACGAGTTCCATTACACCCAATTTATGCCGCGGGCACGCAGTCACTCCATCCTCCAAAAGAACACGATCTCCCATTTATGTGGAGGGCTACCGACCCAGCACATTACAATGTTTATAATGAATAATTTCACCAGCTCTTTTATATTCTTTTTCGAATACGTAAGTAAATAATTATATTTCAGAGACATGAATCTGTCGAAATTAGTTGACGAAGACGAGCCATTGTTCTTCTCTCTTATCGATGATATGTTCCCCGGAATTAAACTCACGACGCAAACGTACCGAGAATTACAGAAGGGAATTGCAAATGCTGCCGAAGCACTGGGTGTTATGAATCATTATGAGTGGAACCTAAAGACAGTTCAAGTGATTTCATTTCCTTTCTTAAATTCTATCTACCTCTCTGTGCGTGCAAACGTAATTTATTCATAAAATTACGTGTCTGATAAATAATCGGATTAATAATGTAACAAACAAAGCCTATGGCCGTTTGGTGTACATTTTTTTTATTCAAATAATATTCTTCCGAAATCGATATTGGACGAGCTAAGATTTGTGATTGAATGATGAGAATAACTATTACCGTAAGTAATCTGTTATGTCTGGACGGGTAACACTGTACGCAAGGGAGAGAAAGGGAGTTGGTGGGTTGTCTGGCCAAAAGTTCTCCGTAGACAGGTCGTCTCGGTATTGGGTTGGGTGATTAGTCGGGAGTACGAATGATAGACAGGAATTTAAAGAAGAGAGAGAAATGATCAGGTCGAAACGGAATTAGTTCTACATTCCCCTTTCCCAGTTCCTGTTGTAATTGTTGGTTTTCACCCAGGTCTGGTTCAATCGTGAGATCTTCCACGCTGTCACGACCCAGCGAAATGTTTGATTCGACGTCACTTCAGACGGCGAGCACGAAAATCACGCGGGGGTGTCGGCTAAGCACTAAAGTACATCTAACACCTGCCGAGTTCACAATCGTTCATATTTGGTGATAAATTTTAGTTTAAGAGTTCCCGATTTGAGGTGGTTCAAAACACTTAGCTTTACTTCTTAAATCTTTGCTTTAGATTGCCGTATTTAATTCTATTAAGAAGGTTAATCACGCTCCCAGATATAGAATCTTGCGGTTCGATTTTACGAGTCGGAAAGGTTCTTTGCGAATCCAGCTCGCGGAGATAGAATTGTTCTAATACGATAGGTTGGAAGATCTTTTGCGAATTACTTCTCCACTAGATGCTCCTGTGCTTCTTCTCCTAATTCGCGAGATGGTAGGGCGGCCCTTTTCAGTTTTTACCTCCGTGGAGGTGGTCATGGTGGGAAACGCTTAAACGACATTTTAGCATTTCCACGCTGTCACTCGAAATCTTGAGCCATGTTACCCTACTTGGGATAGGATGACAGTGTCTCCGAAAAGACGCTAAGTCGGGTACAGCGATAGCGCGCGGTGGGAATTGTACGATAGCGGTACGCGAGAAAAATGCATAGGGAAAATACTTAGTTCATACGCATACGAAATAAAAGTAGGAAAAAAGAGAAAAGCAAAAAACAAAAAGTCAAAGCGGCGTTCGTGCCTTGCAGCACGTGACAACGCGGCCCTTTACGGCACCACAGGGTTACTAAGGGTTTGTTCGTTACCCTCTTGTATCTCTTCAGGAGAAGGTTGGTTCTCACCATTGAGCCAGTTCAACCCTAAGGTTTTCTACAGATTCAGATGCTCTTCCGCGAGGGGCGGTCGGTTTTCACCAAGGAAGCGGGTTGGATACTCCAGGTATTTCAGTCTTATAAAATTCAAATTCTTTCGTTCGGGTGAGAAAGAAAGACTTAAGTAATCAATAGAATTTAGTTTTAAATCGAAAGCTAAATTGATTCGTTTCAAAAAATAAGAAGTGAATCCAATAGAAGAAAAAGAAAGGAGAAAAGAAAATGTCGGGTGAGCTTTTAAATGTTCAATACCTTATTGTGAAAAAGGTAGCGGCTTTAAAAATTCGGCTTGGGTTGTCGATGGGTCCTTGCCTCTGGGTACTACGTGCAATTGAGTTGATTTAGAACAGACCTGGCTGAAAACTGCACTTGCATTCGAAACTGAATCGACTGACAAAAACCGAACAGACGTAGACTCTGGCTGAGCTTGAGTTGAACTAGCAGGTACAGCACAGGAAACTGAGGTTTTTAAACGTTTTCCCTTGCAATGGTTCCATGACGTTCGTGACAATTATGGGAACAGAACATTTTTTGGTGTCCTAAGACGATAATCCGATTTCGCGTATTTGGGGTTCGAAACCATTCACCCTTGGTTTCCTGTCCTGTACAAATAGCCTTAAGATATCGTTACACGGCTAATCGGGTCTCAGCAGCCCAATAGAGGTCGTTATCGATATTTCTTTAGGACCTATCCTCAGCTTGCCCTAAATCGCGATCCGCGGCTAAAACTATATGGAATGTAATGGAACATCATCTAAGGTTTTAATTCCGAAAAACTTTTGTCAAACAACTATTGTTGCTATTAAACATTAGTAGCAGTCACGCTTCATGAAAATTTTAAAATCTGAAAATGGAAAAAATTTGTACAGTGCTACATCTAAAAAATATGGCCGAGAATGCACGACATTTTTATTTCGGTGAAAAGCTACTATCCAAATGTAGCACATAAATTTAATATCTTCTCTATGTATTCGCGACAAAATCCACCACATCACTAGCACTAATACTAATAACTTTCATGTACACAGTTTGTTGCATTAGAAAAGTGAACATTAGGGAGAAATACATGACGCTTATAGTATCTTCAGCAACATTTAGTTCGATTATTTATCAGAGATTATATACTTTGAAAAAAAAAACATATTTGTACATTTTTCTTCCGTCTGTTAAAAGTGTATGAAGTGTTTATTCTATTTACTTAAAGCTGTATGAAACTTATCTTGTTCGTCACGGTTTAATGGTACTCGGTCCAACTGGATCTGGTAAAACACGTTGTATGTGGGCACTTATGCGAGCTATGACCGAAATGGGACTACCACATAAGGAAGTCAGAATGAATCCAAAGGTTAGTTTACATCAATGCCAATTATTAATTATTTTCGGTCGTTCACATAATTATATTTGATGCCATTTTAACGTAGGGTTCTTTCTTCTTTTTCATTAATTACACAGATAAGAAAATAATAAAGAAACTCGTAGTATTGAGTGATGCGAGAAACGCGCCTTGCGCGTTGAGTTTGAGCGAGACGCCACGGAATTATATACAGTAAGGATCGAGATTTCAGGAGTGGGGAAATAGAAATATACTTTCTTCATTGCTACGGATAAAGAAATGAATTTCCAACCAACTCAAAAAATCAAGCAAAAATCAGGAATTTTTTTAAATTTATTCGACTGATTGTTGCCATCTACTGCAACGTATATCCTGCCCGTGGGAAATCTAGGTTCACGAAAGGGCCCTATGTCCTAAAGTCCTTTACCACCGCCCTGGCTCGCACCCACCTCTGAGCACGAATAAGTTGGCCGGTTGTGCACCAGGCGTCCCAGGACGCCAAATCTCGAAGTCCCTTTGGCCTCCTTTTCCTGACGGCCTTGACTCTCCCAGCAAGAGTGAAGCCTAAGGCGAGGGCGAAGGGTTATCCCCGGCTTCTCCGAGGCCCGTCCTCGGAGAGGACGCTTAAGGTGAAGTGAAACACGTCGAGGAACTTGATCAATGTTGATAAAGAAGATTTTTCTAAATGCCTACGTTGCCGACGTTCGTTTTTATATTGACAGTTGTGTCGAATTACATTGAATATTGTACTAAGCGGCATACTACACCTGTCGTTTTCGTATAATAAATATCAAGAAATCGAAGTAAAACTCCAGAAATCCTCTGAATTCATGCCTTCTGGGGCCCTAATTGACTGCGGAGGGACACCCTGCGCCATCTGTGATTTCCAGGTCAATTAAATTGTCACTCCGAGACCCCGGATTACCATCGTGTTAGCATAGAAGCGCATTCAACACTTTTTTGGCCCTTATCCTGTTCAAATGCGAGTTTATCGATTACCAAAGTGTTCTAAATTGTCGTAAAATTGTCCTGACCCTTTCGATTCTCATATCAGAGCCTTTGATAATTGTGTATTGATCGAAGTATCAGAGCTCGACTCCATCCTGGTCTGGTCTGGGCTGTGTTAAAAAATTTTTTACAAAAATCCAAATTTTGAATGTGTTAGGATAATTCTTAGATGATCAGGCGTGATGCGTCAAAGTTTCGGACAGTTTGGTCTAATACCCTTAAAAAAAGTGTTGTATTCGAATCGACTGATTTGAAGGGTGTTTCACTTCACCTTAACTTCGTGACGATAATTTGTCCGGAAGGGACCCGATTTCCTTTCGATAAATGAGAGGAAAGGTTTGCCTGGATTAATAAAATAAAAGAAAACTCTAAATTAAAGGGTTAATAACAATGGCGATTTATTTATCCGAGGTACTGATCGAATTCAAAAGAAGTACACAAAAATCAATTTAATAAAGAGCCAGATGGCTAGTACCCCGACAATAATTCGGACAAGGAATGCGCACGACGCGGACGCGTCGACGACTAATTAAATAATTGTAGGGAATTGTAAGCAAGGAACAGGGACTATAAAAGTAAGGAATAAAAGGTACTGGATCTGAGATACAAGGGACGCTCGCAAATTCAAAAGGAAAGGGACCCGAAAACAGTGACTTCGCCGGAAGCGCAGGCAAAAATAGCGATAAACTNAAATTATGTCGTTGCACTTTTTTATATGAAAATGACCACTTATCGAAAATCGCTCCCATATAAACGCAGGTCAACATTTCATCTTCAGTATGAGCACTCATTAAGCTCGATCGGTTTAGAAATACGTTCGGAATCGTTGTCTCCGTGAGGCCCTGCAAAATCGCTGGAGTGGTGAGCGCCCTTAACGGCGTTCACCACCAAAGTGGGGACGATGACTTCCACCGCCAGATGGAATTAGCCTCGAATTCGGTGGAAGGTAACCAAAACGTAGTTTCTCGCTCGGATGAGGGAGACGCAACGCGTAATAGGTGGTGTTTAGCGACGGTCGGAAAATATGTGTGACCTTGCCCGCATAGGATGACATAACGGCTACACGGCTCCGACTAGACGCCGAGGTGTGTCTGTGACACGGACGCACGCACACGCCAGTTGGACGCTCCGCCCACACTTGGCAACGGTTGCTAAGGAGAGCCCAAATAACGAGCGAGGAACCGAAAATCATGAAAAAGGTGCTCCACGGGAACAACGATTTTGAGCGTATTTCTCAACCGATCGAGCTCAACGACGAGTGCTCGTTTTAAAGATAAAATGTTGACGTGTGTTTATATGGAAGCGATTTTCGATCAAGCACCTCCTTCCTAGTTAAAAGAGCATTGAAATTATGTCGTTGCACTTTTTTATATGTAAATGACCACTTATCGAAAATCGCTCCCATATAAACGCAGGTCAACGTTTCATCTTCAGTATGAGCACTCGTTAAGCTCGAACGGTTTAGAAATACGTTCGGAATCGTTGTCTCCGTGAGGCCCTGCAAAATCGCTGGAGTGGTGAGCGCCCTTAACGCGGACGGCCCTCTAGCCGCCTGGCGGCTTCTTCGCCCATCGGTTCGCGAACTTGAGATTTTTCTTACCACTCTTTACAAAACGCTACACTTTTCGCGATAGAAGGAAACTTACAAAAGAAGTCAGACGGATACGCGTGTCCCGGATTACACAATCCGGACCACCAAAGGGAATTCAACCTATCGAGAAATTTGTATTAAATAAAAACCTGAAATTAACACTATGACGTCCGGTGGCTCCACGTTTGTGCCATGCAAAAACTATCGGGTAAGTGCCGGTGGCTCCACGTTGGTGCCACGAAATTATGTAAGTCAGTTGCACCGGCACGACACGAAAAAATCTAGATTAGACGCGCGGACGGCATAGTGTTAAGAAACTCGAATCCTTGCCGAGCAGCCGCATAGGATAATGGCCAAATTTCGAGAAAGGTCCAAGTTTCCCCGTGTCCCACACCGTCACTTCTACTTTCTTCCTGTTTCTCGCGGATTTCGTCTGTCCGTAACCGTCCCTTGACCGAAAGAAGAGAGAGGCGGTCGGGTTACCCCGCACGACGATATACTTACATGACCCTTTACTTCGATTTTACGCGGAAGGTGTACAGCATTCATAACCACAATCGCATATTATTCCTCCATTGTCGCGTGCGAAAAATTTGAATTTGTCGCGGTTTTACTTCAATAAATAAAAACAGGAATGTGATTTTTTACAGGCCATAACGGCGTCTCAAATGTTTGGCAAGCTCGATGTTGCAACAAATGATTGGACAGACGGAATATTTTCAACTTTATGGCGAAAGTCGACGCAATTGAAGAAAGGCGATCACATGTGGCTTGTTTTAGACGGCCCCGTTGATGCAGTTTGGATTGAAAATCTTAATTCGGTTTTGGATGATAACAAAACGTTGACATTGGCGAATGGAGATCGCATTATAATGTCACCAAGTACTAAACTTGTATTCGAGCCTGACAACGTTGACAACGCTTCACCTGCAACTGTGTCGCGAATGGGAATGGTATTTGTCAGTGCTTCCGTGTTAAGATGGAATCATATTTTGGAGGTATATATTTAATTTAAAGATTCTTTATAAAAGTTAATTTGAGATTTTTTATTTCTTGTCAAAAATTAATATTTTTTAAAATATAACTTCTTTAGGCGTGCTGGGGTAATATCGAGTTGAGTGTAGCGAACTGTGTAATGGCTTCAGTCGTCTCAAAATCGTGATCGAGTACCGCGTGTTCTTGTCTAGTGGGATTATGCTCACTACACAGTAATCGGGCAGTTCCGAGCACAAGCGATAATGTGGGTCTGCATATGGAAATACATGTTAAAGCCTTTCACAAAGTTATTTTGAGAAAAACACGTTTAATAAAAAAATGACCGAAAATTAGAAATTCGTTAACCAATTATGTAAAGTACTTACCGGCTAATTAGCGATTCCAGTACTATACAACAATCCTTCTTCCTCTTCATAAGTATGATTTAGAGCTTGCATCTCTTCTTTTATTGCTTTTCGAGCTTAATTTCCAAGTGCTGCGTCTATTTTGTCGGTTCACGCGCTGCTCATCCATCTGTTGTGCGTAATTGAAGCTCCGCGGGCCAACTACAATTCATTCATGACCATTAGAAATGCTGAATTTCCTTCGTTGAATAAGCCGACAGCTAAAAATGATGCTATTTCGATTATTTTCAGTCCAGAATGCAAATGTTTTGGAGCCAACTGCCAAACTGTTGACTTAAAACTTTCATTTGCATTCTGCGTGTGACCGCCTAAACATCTCGACAGTGACTCATCTTCTTACAAATCTTCATATATTGGAAGAATTGCCTTCTGTACGTCAGGTTGCAATGGAGCAGGGTGCGCTTTAGGCTTCGTTCCAAGAACTTTAGCCTGCTGCCACTTGCACCAGCTGTCTTCTCCGTCTTAACCAAACTTGCCGGTTTTACCCCTGGGCGGTGAACTCTCCGAATTTTTTTCTTTTTGGGAGCTCCGGAGGCGGTGGAAGCCGTGGCGCCCTCATTGCCCGAACAAGGAAACATTCCCAAGTGTCCGCCCCCGATCTTATTGATTTTCATATATGTTGAAGAACACAAAAATCTAAGAGACACGTGTTTTTTTATATCTGCAATGGTCGTCCACATTTAAGGGGTGAAACAACCCCCCAAAGTTTGGCGAAAATTCGATTTTTATAACAATTTTCGTAGAAGCAATGGAGGGATTTCGACGAAACTTGGTATAAACGTATTCTGTATAAGGACGGTGAAAATACAATATTGTTCAGCAATGCTACACCTCCCCAAGGAGGTGAACTACCCTTCAAGCGACATTTTTTTGTAATATCTATTAAACGAGCATTCCTACTTAAGTCCTACTTACGCGATGTGAATACTCACAAAAAATGAAGAAATACGTGTTTTTTGCTTTTTGCCAATAAAAATACACATCGGTTGTAAACAATGAATGTAGGTGATATACGGGTATATTTCGACTAGCTATATTGGATTATATCGTGACCAATTCATTGTACATAAATCTTGTGAACGTGCTTATTCCTCAAAATGTCCTTGGTTTTCATAGCATGCAATTATTTATAAATAAAATTGAAAAAAGTTTAAGAGACTAAAATAGTTTCGCAACAGATCCGATGACGCAGTCATCACCCGTTTCCAACTAGTAATACAATCTCCTTGGTGAAACGGTAAAATTGGATTTTACCGTTTTTACGATAGTAGAGTTAGCGATATTCGTAAATAATTACATATTATGAAAACCAACGACATTTTGAGGAATTAGGACGTTCACAAGATTTATGTACAATGAACTGGTCACGATATAACCCAATAAAGCTACTCGGAATGTACCCGTATACCACCTACATTCATTGTTTACAACCGATGTGTAAATGTTTATTGGTAAAAAGCAAAAAACACGGATTCTTCATTTTTTGTGAGCAAGAACATCGCGTAAGTGGAACGTAAGTAGGCGTGCTTGTTTATTAGATATTACAAAAAAATGTCGCCTGAAGGGTAGTTCACCCCCTTGGGGGGTGTAGCATTGCTGGACAATATTGTTTTCACCGTCCTTATACGGAATACGTTCATACCAAGTTTCGTCGAAATCCCTCCACTGCTTCTACGAAAATGATTATAAAAACTGAATTTTCGCCAAACTTTGGGGGGTTGTTTCACCCCTTAAATGTGGACCATTGCAGATATAAAAAAAACACGTGTCTCTTAGATTTTTGTGTTCTTCAACATATATGAAAATCAATCAGATCGGGGGCGGACACTTGGGAATGTTTCCTTGTAAGTCTCTCTCATGACGCTGTCCCTTCGGTGTCTTCCACCGCCCTTGAATGGTCGATCGATGGTGGGAAGGACGGTACCTGCAGCATCGCCACCCTCCTCTTGCACTGACTGCACTGAAGGGCTGGACTCTTCCTTCCGGAGGGCTGGAATTCCCCTTACTAGATATGTAGTCGTCATTTGTGTACTTGGCTTTATAGTATGATTTAAGTGCTTTTTGTATGTAAACTTTATATGAAATACACATTTTTTGTATAAGAGGTTTGCAGCATTCCTGTACTCGGTGAAGTATTTTACAGATAAGTGTTTTTGTGGGGATTCCTAACTATTCCAACTACTAAGGACGACGATAGCGCCCGGGTGTACGTACCAAGAGACTAATTATTTTAAGTCAAATTGTAAGCCCTTAAGGTGATGCGAACAAATAAATAATATCTTGTCTCAAAGTTCTTATACTTATTTCCACCCACCCAAACGTAACATGAGCATCCTTAACCACTTGCTCTATAAAGACGTGCCACGCACGTCGAGATGCTTTTGTTCCAAAACTGCCAGCGACATGTATACCACGTCGATAGGCATTTGTCGCAGAAACAAAATCGACGTGTCCGGCACGTCGGCTAACAGTTGGATCGTTCATTATTCGTGCTACAGTTCCAGACTGCACGACATCGCGTAGCGTCATCGATATCTTGGAAATATTTCAGAATCGATAGGGTATGTTGTACGGATGTTATACCGCATGTTATATTGTAGAGCGCACACGGCAACCGAAAGTTAAATCGTAGCGCAAGTGGTTAACACGTTCCATGCCACGTGTACCACCGATAATACGCATTAACCTCGAGTGGTACATGGCGTGGTCCGGAACGTGTTAACCACCCGGTCTCTTACATTCTGTCTTACTAATTTTGTTTTAATTATACAAGATTATCACTACATACAATTGCAGCTAGAACATAATTGGTTAGGGATTCCTAATATTTCTTAATCACTAGTATTTTCATTACATTTCCAATTGCTGATCACATTATGGATGAAAAGTTCATCCATGAAATTACAAACAGTAACATTGGAACTTACGTTGCAGGCGCAAAAATACGTAGTTGTAATCAGTGGAAGGTAGAAAAGAGGTGATCCTTTGCGCTTTACTAATAAAATGTATTCCACAGGGTTGGTTTAAGGGTCGTCCAAGTTCTGAAGTGGAAGTCTTACGTGCCTTATACAACAAAATATTCGAAGACTCCCTTACATTTGTTTTAACAAAACTTAATGCTAAGATGAAAATATTGGAAGCAATGTACATTCGTCAAAGTATCGATATATTACAAGGATTGCTCACCATGGATAATGATACATCGAGTAAGTCAGAACCGTAAAGAAATTATTATTGTTATACACAACGAAATGTACGAGATATATCCCAAACCGCACAACTACAACTAAAATATGTCTAAAGGATGATGAATTTTCTGAAAAATCATCTTTTGGTAATAGCATATTGTCAACAAAAAGGAAACGAAACGATGTCCTATACACCGGATATTGGCATCTTTTAGTCATGGTCAAAAGATGACGAGTCATCTTTTAGTTAAGGTGAAGTGAAACACGTCGAGGAACTTGATCAACGTCGATAAAGAAGATTTTTCTAAATGCCTACGTTGCCGACGTTCGTTTTTATATTGACAACTGGGTCGAATTATATTGTGTGTTGTACCAAATGGCATATTCCACCTGTCGTTTTCGTACAATAATTATAAAGAAATCGAAGTAAAACTCCAGAAATCCTCTGGATTGTTACGGG